CCACCAAAATCACCACATTGCCAAGCCTAATCACTAGCCACTTAAACAACCCCTAAAACACCCTAATTAACCCTTAATCTTGTTCAAAATGCACAAAATCCTAATTAAGGGTTAGGGTTTCCACTCAGAAGGTCTTAAGCTCCAAATGTGAGCCGAACTAGGGGAGAAACGGGCTGGACGGTGGCTGGTTCAAGCCGGTTTAGCGGCGGCGCCGGCGGCTCCCACGGCAGCGATCGGCGGCAGCAACGGCGGGTGGTTCGTTGCTGATCCACACGGCGAAGGGGGATGATGGTGATGGTGGTGGAACGGAAATGAGAGAGAGCGAGAGAGAGAGAGAGAGAGATGAGGTAGGCTGAGGTGGTGGTGTGTGGGCGGTCACGAGCCGGCGGCGACGAGCGGCGCTCGGCGGCGGTGCTACACTGCCAAGGCGGGGGCTGGTGGTGGCGACGGGAAGAGAGAGAGAGAAGGAGAGGAAATGGGGTGACCGAATGGTGGTGGTGTGGCGACGGGCTGCTCGTGGACGGCGGCGGCGTGGGGTCCCGGCGGGCGGCGGCGGCGTCGGCGTGGCCGCAGTTGGGCTGCTCCGGCGGCTCCTTACATGGCCAAGGGAGGAGAGAAAATAGAGAGAGTGAGAGGGGGACTTCGGCCGGTGAGGGAGAGAATGAGGGGAGAGAGAGTAAGAGAGAGTGTTTATCACAAGGGCTTGAGTGGGGTAGGTCAACCACTCCACTCACAAAGACATGATTATCCCACCCACTCATAACCTAATCCAAGGGTCGAGATTTAAAGACTAATCTAATCAATCCAAAATCAATGGCCAAGATTGGTTCTAGACCAAAATATCCAAGGGCAATTTAGGGAATGAGCAAGGGTGATGGGGGGCTTATATGTCCAATATTTTCGGCCACTAGGGGGCTGATTAAGACCAATTAAACCTCCAAAATTCGGAATCAATGATTTGGGCTCAGGGGCAAATCGGTAATTTTCCACTTCCGGTCCAAAATTCCATTTTTCGATCATACCGATTCCAAATATGATTGGCCACACTAATACGACATTATCCTTGCAAAATAGTCGCGTACGTCCGTGAAATTCGACACTCAAGTCCGGATTCAATTCGACGATCAATTTCACTCAAATGCGATTTTAGCGTCTCTTACTAATGGGTGGCTGTTTAGGGGTTACGCGTATCGACTTAGGATTACTCGAGTCGTGACGGTCTCGATTTCCAAGAGAACGCGAGGATTTATCGCTAGTTCCGGAGGTCACGATCGTTCGGAGTAGGTTTAGGATCGTTCGCCACGCGTACTCCCGGTCGTGCAGAATCGCTCGCGATCCGATCATACGTCGTTGGTAAAATCAAATCCGTCGCCCTCCTTGGATCGGCCCATATTGGCCCAAAATATTCCTTCGTCGTTCCGGTTCATACTTCCTCAGCATTGACACGTGGAACACATTATGCACTTGGGACAAATTAGGCGGCAAAGCGAGTCTATAGGCCAGATCTCCAATCTTCTCTAAAATCTCAAATGGACCGACATATCTCGGGCTCAATTTTCCTTTGTTGCCAAATCGTGACAATCCTTTCATTAGCGACAGTTTAAGGAAAACATGATCACCCACCTGAAATTCCAAAGGTCTCCGTCTCCGATCGGCATAACTTTTCTGGCGGCTCTGTGCTGTCTTTAACCTTTCCCGAATAATCTCGACTGCCTCAACTGTCTGTTGCACCAATTCTGGACCCGTTATACTTCGTTCACCGACTTCATCCCAACACACTGGCGTTCGGCATGCTCTGCCATACAAGTCCTCAAACGGTGCCATCTGAATACTCTGCTGATAGCTATTATTGTAGGCAAACTCGACCAGGTGTAACTGCTCTTCCCATTTACCTTGGAAGTCCAATACACATGCGCGCAACATGTCTTTCAAAGTCTGGATCGTCCTCTCCGACTGGCCATCCGTCTGTGGATGATAGGCCGTACTAAACTGAAGTTTCGTCCCTAAGGCCGTTTGCAGACTTTTCCAAAAATTGGCAGTAAACCTGGGATCACGGTCCGAAGTGATCATCACTGGCACTCCATGAAGTCGGACAATCTGTCGTACATACAAATCTGCATATCTTTCCAACTCAAAATCCTTTCGCATCGCCAGGAAGTGCGCTGACTTAGTCAGTCTATCCACTATTACCCAAATCGAATCATGTCCTCTCTGGCTCCTCGGTAATCCCGTTACAAAGTCCATCGTGATATGTTCCCATTTCCATTCGGGAATTTCCAATGGTCGCAAAAGTCCTCCAGGCTTACAATGCTGCGCCTTTACTTGCTGACAGGTCAGACATTTCGCCACATGCTTGGCCACATCCGTTTTCATCTCATTCCACTAGTAGTGTTGCCGTAGATTCTGATACATCTTTGTACTGCTAGAATGAATGCTATAATTGCTACGATGAGCTTCTTTCAAAATTTCCTCCTTAAGTTCCATATCGTCGGGCACGCATAATTGTCCACGGAACTTCAAGATCCCGTCCTCGGATACTTGGAAATCCGATTTTCTCTTGGCGGCGTCCATTTCAACTATCTTCTGAATTTCTTGGTCCGTAGATTGCAATGCCTTAATCTTGATTTGAATTTCCGGTTCGATCTTTAATGCGGCGAGTAGATTCGACACGCGGCTCACTTCAAACCTAAATTCTGAATCTCTTAACCTTTCCAATAGCGTCCATTCCCTGACCATCATGTGCGCTATACTCGACTTCCGACTTAGCGCATCTGCCACTCGATTAGCCTTTCCAGGGTGATACAAAATGTCGCAGTCGTAATCCTTGAGGAGTTCCATCCAACGACGCTGCCTCATATTCAACTCCTTCTGCGAAAACAAATACTTGAGACTCTGATGATCTGTGAAAATCTGAAACTTTTCTCCGCACAAGTAATGCCTCCAAATCTTAAGGGCGAAGATGATCGCAGCCAATTCCAAATCATGAGTCAGGTAATTCATCTCGTGCGGTCTCAACTGACATGATGCATACGCAACTACCCTTCCATGTTGCATCAACACACAGCCAAGTCCTCTCAACGAAGCATCACTGTAAACCTTAAATCCTCCTGATCCAGACGGAATAATTAATACCGGGGCAGTCGTCAACCTATGCTTTAGCTCCTGAAAGCTCCCCTCACACTTATCGTCCCATTCAAACTTCGTTTCTTTCTTAAGCAACCGTGTCAACAGCGTGGCTATTGACGAGAATCCTTCTACAAAACGCCTGTAATATCCTGCCAGACCTAAGAAACTCCGAATCTCTGTTACTGATGTCGGTCTTGGCCACTTAGTCACTGCCTCAATCTTAGTCGGATCCACGGAGATCCCATCTCCGGAAATTATATGTCCAAGGAACGCCACTCGGTTGAGCCAGAACTCGCACTTACTAAACTTGGCGTAGAGTGCGTGTTCTCTTAAGGTCCGTAGTACTTCACTTAAATACGCCTCATGCTCTTCCGAGCTTTTCGAGTATACTAATATGTCATCGATGAAGACTATAACAAACCGATCCAAGAACTCCTTAAATACCCGATTCATCAAATCCATAAAGGTAGCGGGGGCATTAGTCAAACCAAAAGGCATCACTGTAAACTCGTAATGCCCATACCTCGTCCGAAAGGCCGTCTTAGGTATATCCTCTTTCCTAATTCTCAACTGATGATACCCCGTCCGTAGATCGATCTTAGAAAATACCGAAGCTCCTTGCAATTGATCGAATAGGTCATCAATCCTCGGCAGTGGGTACTTATTATTGACGGTCACTTGGTTCAACTGCCGGTAATCTATACACAATCTCAATGTCCCATCCTTTTTCCTTACAAACAACACCGGCGCTCCCCATGGAGACGCACTTGGGCAGATAAAACCCTTGTCCAACAATTCTTGCATATGAACTTTTAACTCCTTCAGTTTCGACAGGGACATTCGGTACAGCGCCTTCAAGATTGGCTCAGTCCCTGGGGCCAACTCGATTACGAATTCTACTTCTCTTTCTGGTGGCAAACCCGGCAATTCCTGAGGAAAGACTTCAGGAAAATTGCACACCACGGGTATCTCTTCCAATTTTGGCTCCGCAACTGTCGGATCAACCACATTCACCAAATACCCTTCACAACCCTCATCCAACAACTTGGTCACCTCAAGAGAAGAAATCCAAGGGATCGAGGTTCCTCCTCGGTTTCCCTGAAACTCAAATCTAGGATGTCCAATCGGATTGAATTGGATCACCCTGCTACTGCAATCCATCACGACTTTCTGCTTAACTAGCCAATCCATTCCGATAATCACATCAAAATCGAACATGGTCAATACTGCCAAGTCTATCATTTCCTCTCTACCCCCAATTACTATCTTACAGTTATGACACCCTAACGAGACTAACACCTTATCATTCAGCGGGGTCGTCACACAAAGCATAATCTCAAGCATAACCGATTCTATACCAATCAATCTAACAAACTGCTCTGATATAAACGAGTGTGATGCTCCCGGATCAAACAAGGCATACGCAGCATGATCACAGAGAGAGACCGTACCTGTGACCACGCCTGGCGTGTCCTCAGCCTCCCTTCGCGCCATCGCATACACCTTTCCTTGGGCTGGCGGTCTACCCTGAATGGCCGGCGGGGGATTTCCGGTCTGATTTCCAACCCGGGGCGACTGAGCTTGCATTGGCGGTCATGTTGGACGTTGTTGAGGGCAATTCCTTATCTGGTGATCTAGGCTCCCACACTTGAAACAAGCCCCAAACCGATTCTGCGGGTGGTTCGGCTTCCCGATGTTCTTCCTAACGGGAGGGACAAAATGTCTGTTTCCCGCCATCGGCCTCTTTCCGAAGCGGCGGTTGTCCTTAGCCGGGGCGAACCGCGATCCAGAAGCAGCGACCCTGTCCATCTGATCCCCCTCTATTGCCTGAGCTCGCTCATACATTTCTCCATAGTCCCTGGTATTCAGTGAAATCATCTGGCTTTGAAGGTCCGCTTCAGCCCATCCCAGAACCTTCGGACCTTATCCTGTGGGTCCTCAACCATCCTAGGCACGAACTTCGACAGCCTTGCGAATTCCGCCTCATACTGGTCTATAGTCATCTGTCCTTGGCGGAGTCTCATAAACTCTGTTAGTTTCCTTTCCCTGGCACTCTCAGAGAAGTATTTTCCATAGAAGTTCTCACTAAACACGGCCCAAGTCTGGGCAGTACCCTCGGGTAACACTCTTCCCCTGGTGGCCTTCCACCAGTCATTGGCATTCTCCTGCAACTGATACACGGCCAAGGTCACCTTCTCGGCCTCGGTGCAACCCAGAACTTCGAAGGCCTTCTCCAACTCTTCCACCCAACGTGGCGCGGCCTCGGGGTCACCCTTTCCGTCGAACTTCGGCGGCTTTAACTTTAGGAATTGTTCCAACAGTTGGTGCATTTGCCTATTCACGACCACCTGAGCCTGCCCTTGATGGGCCTGGTTCCCATTAACAGTAGCAGTCGCTGCGGCCTCAGCAACTTGGGCAATATTGGCGGCCCTCTCTTGAGCCTGCCTTCCCATCAAATTCCCTATTTCCTGCAGCGTCTGAATGACCGCATCAAGCCTTGGGTCTCTTGCCTCTTGGCCCATTGCACTCGATTGTCCTCTTGTCCCCATTCCTCTGCTCATCCTTATGGGTTTTCTCACTACTCACTTACCTGCTATAATTCCATTCAGGAATTAGAGACCTAGGCCAAACTAGGCCAGTCTAAAGGTCCTAGGCAATAATCACAACAATCAATCACTCAGCAGGCGGTCAAACACAAGCAACACAAGGTCTCAATCAAAGGGATATGCGTACTTATCTCGGGTCCTGCTGCACCTGCACTTTACGGGTCATTCACAACAATCACTCAATCACGCAATTCAAATAGTCTGGCGGTACACATAGCACACAAGTCTCCCTATTTAGCTACCTAAAGTCATCTCTCCTTATCACTCCAGACTTCGACCGAGTTGGATCGAGCTAACCTTGCTCTGATACCAAATCAACAGGGGATGTCACGCCCCGAACCCTACGGCACACGACAACCCCTTCGTCGGTCGTATTGGTGCGACGTCCTAAGACGCGTTGCCGACCCAAAATCCAAAACAGAGAATAATACACATGCGGAAGCAACCATACACCCTTACATATTGAAACATGACCAGGGATAGCAACAGACATCATAAATACATACTTACATTAATCAAAGGGATTTACAATATTCATTAACAGCGACATACATAAATCAAAACGGGTCAGCGGCTACTAACATCAAAAAGGGGTATGTGGCTCGGGCGGTCAGGGTACTAAACCTAAGAAGGGCTTCTCCAAAAAGTGTCGGCCCTAAACCTAACTATGGTCAAGGCTAAACCCTAGGGTAACCAGTTCGGGTCAGATCCCGAGGACTCGGACGAATCGTCGGACGACTCGGACTCAGAATCCATAGAATCCGGCTCGGACTCGGCCTCCACTGGCTCCTCCTCAGAATCATCCTCCGGCTCTGGTTCCAACTTCATCGGCTCCGGCTCAGGATCGGACTCCCACTCCATCGGTTCCTCCTCCTCAGGATCGGAATCCATCTCGAAGATGACTGGTCAGGGGTCAGAATCCTCCTCGGTCATGGCATCAGGGCTGGCCACCTCCCCATCAGCTGACTGCGGATCCCAATGACCTAACCCGTCTATCGGGACATCAAAAGTCCTAAGGGGTCCAAAAATACTGAATTGGTCCCGAAAACACCAACCCAGATACTGATGAGCCTGGAACTGTGGCTCGCCCACATCGACCCAAACGGTGGTAAAATGCCTAACATAAGTCTCCCCGCTCCCAACGGGGTACTCGATCACCGAACGCTCTATGCAGTACGGGATCCCAAAAAGTATCGGTACGCCTGCCATCCTCAAGGTCGGGGGTCTAAAAAGTGGGGTTTTAACAACAATGAGAATAAATCTCAGCGAGTAGGCCCCCTAAACCTAAACTAGGCTAACATGCACCTCCAAAACAAGCAACTAATCAAACAAATAGTCGAGCATTCAAACAATTTAGGCCCTCGGGCCCAAATCAACCATATTATTGACCATGCAGGTTAGGCACATAATAATAGCAATAATAGCACCTAACCCAATTATGGCACCTACACAATATCACTTGGCCACGAACACATGCCATGCACATGGTTACACTCATTAATGCACTCTCGCGCCCGTGCCGTTACCATGCACATGCTAATGCTCATTTGTGCACACTTGCACACGTGCCAATTTCTCAATTCACTTCCGACCCGCGTAAAACGCATCAGGTCTATCACTTCTCAATCAATCTCCGGCTCGCGTTAAACTCATCGGGCTCATGACACAACCCGTGTAAAACGCATCAGGTTGACCATCTTCCGGTAGTCCGGGCATCGTCCCGCGTTATACGCCTCAGGACGGGTTCAATACCCCGCGTAAAACTCATCAGGGTTTATGTGATCACATGTACACATTCCACCAATTATTATCTGAACCCCGCGTAAAACGCATCATGGCAATTTAGGTGATCACATGCTCAATGATGTCCTTGCACACTCGCATGATTTATATGTTATGCCAATACTCAGTATGCACAATTCATGGCCATATCATCCAGTAATTCAAGCATCAAACTAGATCCACATAATTGGCTCAATCCACACTACAACATGTTCAATTCACCAATCCATGCAATTCGGTCACGGTCCACAACTTGGCAGATAAAATCATGCAATTAATTCATTAGAATCGCACATGCCCATGGCCCACCAAGCCTCTCATATTTCGGCCACACTAAGCACTCAACATGGCATCACATAATCAATCTCAAACCATGCACAATTTAGCCATTACACGGTCCAACCAATCACACATGGCAAGTCGCATTTAAACCATCAATTAGCGACACACGGCCCAATCAAGTCCAAACTAACCAGCCACTAAACAGACCACATAATGCCCCTTGATCACCTTTAAATCATCACTCTAGGCCACCAAAATCACCACATTGCCAAGCCTAATCACTAGCCACTTAAACAACCCCTAAAACACCCTAATTAACCCCTAATCTTGTCCAAAATGCACATAATCATAATTAAGGGTTAGGGTTTCCACTCAGAAGGTCTTAAGCTCCAAATGTGGGCCGGACTAGGGGAGAAACGGGCTGGACGGTGGCTGGTTCAAGCCGGTTCAGCGGCGGCGCCGGCGGCTCCCACGGCAGCGATCGGCGGCAGCAACGGCGGGTGGTTCGTTGCTGATCCACACGGCGAAGGGGGATGATGGTGATGGTGGTGGAACGGAAATGAGAGAGAGCGAGATAGAGAGAGAGAGAGAGAGAGAGAGAGAGAGAGATGAGGCAGGCTGAGGTGGTGGTGTGTGGGCGGTCACGGGCCGGCGGCGGCGAGCGACGCTCGGCGGCGGTGCTACACGGCCAAGTCGTGGGCTAGTGGTGGCGACGGGAAGAGAGAGAGAGAGAAGGAGAGGAAATGGGGTGACCGAATGGTGGTGGTGTAGCGACGGGCTGCTCATGGACGGCAGCGGCGTGGGGTCCCGGCGGGCGGCGGCGGCGTGGCCGCAGTTGGGCTGCTCCGGCGGCTCCTCACGTGGCCAAGGGAAGAGAGAAAATAGAGAGAGTGAGAGGGGGACTTCGGCCGGTGAGGGAGAGAATGAGGGGAGAGAGAGTAAGAGAGAGTGTTTATCACAAGGGCTTGAGTGGGGTAGGTCAACCACTCCACTCACAAAGACATGATTGTCTCACCCACTCATAACCTAATCCAAGGGTCGAGATTTAAAGACTAATCTAATCAATCCAAAATCAATGGCCAAGATTGGTTCTAGACCAAAATATCCAAGGGCAATTTAGGGAATGAGCAAGGGTGATGGAGGGCTTATATGTCCAATATTTTCGGCCACTAGGGGGCTGATTAAGATCAATTAAACCTCCAAAATTCGGAATCAATGATTTGAGCTCAGGGGCAAATCGGTAATTTTTCACTTCCGGTCCAAAATTCCATTTTTCGATCATACCGATCCCAAATATGATTGGCCACACTAATACGACGTCATCCTTGCAAAATAGTCGCGTACATCCGTGAAATTCGACACTCAAGTTCGGATTCAATTCGACGATCAATTTCGCTCAAATGCGATTTTAGCGTATCTTACTAACGGGCGGCTGTTTAGGGGTTGCGCGTATCGACTTAGGATTACTCGAGTCGTGACGGTCTCGATTTCCAAGACAACGCGAGGATTTATCGCTAGTTCCGGAGGTTTAGGATCGTTCGCCACGCGTACTGCCGGTCGTACGGAATCACCCGCGATCCGATCATACGTCGTTGGCAAAACCAAATCCGTCGCCCTCCTTGGATCGGCTCACATTGGCCCAAAATATTCCCTCGTCGTTCCTCGGAATCGGAGTTCAATTAACGGTCGAGTTCTTGGGTCCACGTACCGTTTTCCTAGTTAGTCATTCCCTATTGGTCAGTATCCCGAGAATGATCAGTTCCGGGCGAGACTTACTAAAACGAAATAAGAAATACACATATATTTCATTGATCACGAAAGTGGGTCGAATTCAGGTTATTACAGGGTTCCTCATCGGTTCTAGGCCTGGTTTGTTAGGGATGGTGAGGATTTATTTGGGCCTCTTAGGGGTTTCGACGGTCCTCAAGAAGAGGATCCTGGGCACAAGATATGGGACCCTATGGATGTTGACCCACCTGACAAGTCAGTAGAGGATCCCGAGCCTGAGCCAAATCCTGTTCCCGAGTACCCATCTGATTTTGACCCGTCGAAACACGACCCCGACTCGCCCTACTTCGACTCACCGACCGACCCTCTACATGGATAGCTCATGAGAGACTTGCTTGGAAGCTGACTTTTTGACTGACATGCTGTTGATGAAGTAGATTGACTCCCAGCCTGGTATCTTTTTGTAGGCTCGTGTGGAAATGCCCGAAGTGGGCTTGTAAAAAAAATGTTTCCCGGGGGTTAATCAAGTAAATAACTAACGTGGTGTTTTGGTTTAATTGTTGTGATCTGTTTTCCTATCTATCCCTATTTACTGTTGTTATATGGGTGAATGTTGTTATAGCTTCCGCATGTGTAATTAAAAGATGAAATGAAGGGTCAGTGACGAGTCCTGGGACGTCGCATTTTAACGACCATAGCAAGTTGTTGCGCGCTCGCAGGATTCCGGACGTGACAACATTAGTATTTTTTCTTCTGCAATAAGCCATTATACTTCCAAATAGACAGGGTAAGTCCCATCTTAAAGAAGACTTTTACTAATCCTTTTGGAATGCTTTTTGTTTATACTTTTTCAAAATTTACACCACTAGTTTCATTCCTCCATTTGCTCCAACTTCTCAAACACGGCCTGTAAAAATGACTTTTTAGCGGCCACATAGTATCCATTTAAAGTGCGTTGTATATTATCTTTACAAATCTTAAATCATTCATGATATTGACAAATAAGAAGTGTACAATTAGGCCGAAGTCCCTGCACCACTGCTTTTTGCTACCACATTACTTACTTTTAGAAAATAATCGTAGATCCAATAAAATAAAGGAGAGTGAGAAGTCTTGCATTACATTATCAGTGCAATGACAAGAGAGAATTA